CAACTTGCCCAAACTACTGGACTCCCTTAGCCGAAGATGTTGCCTCTGGTCTTCCTGAATGTTTGCAGTAACCCATTTGGGAAACCAAGTTATTTCACATGAGATGGTCACCAGTAGACCAATGTATACTGGTCTACACTTTCTGCAGATCCCTTGTTATCTCATACTAATAAGTCTTTAAAGTGTTATAGTAAAGCCTATCATCAACAGGTTAAAAAAGCTTTTCCAAATTTCAGTTCAGAGGGTTCTGTAGGTCATGGTCTGAGAACTGGTGACTGGGTATTCTGGAAATGTCACCAGAGAAGACAGCCCGGGACCCCACTGAAGGGGACCTTGTGGAGTGCTCCTGACCATGATTGCTGCTGCACAATCGAAAGGAATTTAGCCTTGGGTCTACATCCCACAGCTGCAGGAGGCTCCGTCTGACATCCCGTCCTGTACAGATGCTGGAGCCCTTCGAATGAGATTGACAGGGAAGAGACTAGCTGACATCGACTCAAGATACTGGGTCAAGACTTCACAGTTTAACTAACTACGGAACCCTTTACTTTTCTCTTTCTTTCCTTTGCTCTGGCATTGCCTGGAAAGACAGCATTCTCGTCCCTATCCCCAGGCCATTGCGAAGGGGGGTAACCTTTCAGACTGCTAGATTTGTCATTAGAGATTCTGACCTGTCCAAGATGCTGAAGACACCTCATACTCCCCTGACCAATTTCTCTTCTATCTCAATGTCACCACAACCTATGATTGACCACCACCCCACCCCCACAAGTCTCTTAGCAAATTCAGCCTTTCTGGCAAGAGCATCCAGTGCCTTGTTTTCACTGTTCTCTAATTACAATGATACTTGCCTGATTAGACATAAATACCTATGTAACTCTTAGTACATTTGCACCCTGATGTTCTCATGATTATCTAGTCCAGGTCTGCCCCAATCACAAAAAGATCTCACCAGCAGCACCCATCTTTGCAAGGGATTTAGAACAGCTCTGTATTTCAGGCTAGATTTATTTCCCAAATGCGCCCAAAACTTGACTGACCCTTAGCTTGAATGGGCAAATGCAACAATTCCTGCTAATGAGTTCATTAACATTACCAGATTAAGGGGAAGGGCTTGTGCCCCAACAGGGTGATCTTTGTGTTGGTCATTATCATTCTCCTTCTGTCTCTCATAGGTAGGTGACTTTGCCTGAAACAATCCACACTTTGCTAGAAATTTCCTTTTCTTACACCCTTCTGCCTATAAAAGCCTTTCATTTTGTTTAGCTCTTCGAGCTCCTTTTATTCTGCTGGATGGGATGCTGCCCGATTTATGAACAGTTGAATAAAGGCAACTAGATATTTAAATTTACTCAGTTGATTTTTTTTAAACACTGCTGACTGTCACTTTCCTCTCTGGGGCTCCTCTTCACCCACGAGAACTCACTAGTCATCTGACATACGGGCAAACCTGGGAACGGGGGAGATAATACGCCATGGGGCAAACGTCATCAGTGGGCGCAGGAGCCAACAGATAAACACACCCTACTTCTATACTTAAGTCAGAGGAGTCTGAGGTGCATTCTACAGCTTCTCAGAGGCTTCCCAGCAGGATGAGACCTCAGTCACCCAGAGCAGTGACCAGCTTTGCCTTTCCATCTTATCTTTCCCTCTTCAACCTCCCAAGGCCAACCCAACGCCTGTTCATCGGAGCCACTTCCCAAAATAATTGTCCTTACTAGGCCTTCATGGCAGAAAGCACTCAGGCTTAGATGGTCATACTGTACGTGTCAGTCTTTCCTCTTCCATTCTCTCTCTCAGTATAATATATTTTATATATAAATATGAAATATATATGTATGAAGTTATCAATAATCTCTTTTCTTCCTCATATCTCCTTCCAGTTAAGAGATCTCAATATCAGATTCTCCTACAGTTTCTCTCTCAAGGAGCTCTTAGACTTTGCTCTTTCAGTATATATTTGGCTCCATCTTGGACAAGCTGATTATTACTGTTTCTGTATATGTCAGCAAAACCCAGGAATCACATCGCTTATTACAGAAATTCTCTTAGAGTTACCATGTTTACATTGCATCCGCTATAACTGGGTAGAGGAAAGATATTACATTTTTTCAAGTTGGAAACTGTGATTTGGAGGGTGGCCATGAACTTCTGTATTTTAGGTTGCAGGCTGTCCTTTAATTCTGAAAGCAACTTTTGATGAACATTTCAGTAATGTTCATGCACCTACCACTCCCTCCATTGTAGTATTATACTAAGTAAAGTAAATGAACAAACAAAATGAAACAAATTTAAAGCAGCAGACAGCAGATTGCGGTTGTAAGAGCGGAAAGGGTTGAGAGGAGAACAAAATGGGTACGGGGAGTCGATTGCATGATGACAAATGGAAACTAGACTTTTGGTGGTGAGCACGCTGTAGTGTATACAGATGTGAAATTGTAATGTTGTACCTCTGAAATTTATAAAATGTTGTAAACCAATGTTACCTCACCTAAAAAAGTCCTTGCCACTTTGGGGAAGGGGTGAAAGTGGGTATGTGCAAAATAACATTGGACAACAAATGATAGTAAGTTTTACTATTAACTGTCATTACAGTTACTTATAATACGTGTAAATGGAGTCCATTAAATTAGTCTCCTTACTTTTATGTTTTTGATATTTTTCTTAATATAAATTTTTGTAAGTGCAAGAATTTTTGAAGAAATTATAAAAATTTATTGAGCGATATTAGAAGAACTAAAAGGAGAAATATGCCATGTTTACACGTTGAAAGGCTCAAGAGTGTCAAAATAAATGTGAGTGCCTCCCCAGCTGCGCCCCAGTAGAGTTCGCCCCAGTGATTTCAGCGCCCCCCCCTCCACCGGCTACTTCCCCGCAGGTTTTGTCAGCACTCCAGTGGGGTTTCCTGTTGAGGCAGCCGTTCCCTGAAACCAGACTCATCCTCCTGACTGTGAACAGCTGTCTCAGTGCAGCCCCGAGATCTCCACCGTTGATGGGCTGCAACCACACTCTTTCCAGTGAGGTCAGAACCCCAGTCTTGGCTCCAGGGCCCCCTTGCAAGCTTGTTTTTTCCTTAGACAATCTCCTTCAGCCCCTGGGTGTTCTTTTGAGTTCTTTTTTTATGCCCCCTTAGTTGCTAAATTCCTTCTAAGTAGTTAATAATTTTGTATATTGCATAGCCCTTCTTCAAATTGCTGTGTGATTTGTGTCTCCTAAGTGGATCTGAATGATATACTAGTAAAAATAAAATTGAAGTTGTACGTATGTAATATGTGTGACCAGAAATTGTGTGTGTGTGTGTGAGAGAGAGAGACAGAGGAACTTGCACACGTGTGGCCAAGTAGAAACACAAGAATATCCATAGCAGTGTTGTTCAGCATAATCTGAAGCTGAAAACAAATCCAACAGGAGACAAACTGGCTGTGGGATGTGAGAGAGAGAGATGAGTCAAAGATATTGCCAAGGTTTTTAACATGAGCAACTAGAAGAGTTGCCTTTTCCTGAGATTGGGAAGTCTGCAAGGTGATGAAGGTTTTGACATTGGAAGACAGTATCAGAAGCCAGTTTTAGACATTTTAGGCTTGAGATGAGGCATTCAAACGGAAGTGTCAAGCAGGCAGTTGGATATGCAAGTCTGGATGGTGAGCCTGGATTATCCCTGAAGTTGTATATTTGAGGGCCCTTGGCATACAGAGAGTCCTTAAGGTCAAGAGATTGGGTAATGTCACCAAATAAGCATGAAATTGGGACATTTTTCTGGATGACTCTCCTCTAGGGGATAATCTCACCTCTCCCCCACTTCAGGTGTCATGCCCAGTGTCTATCTCTAGCCCAAAAAGGTCATCTTCCTTTGGCACCCAGAATGACCACCTAAAAGCATAATTTGGATTATAGAACTTCCTCGTCTAAGCCTCTTCAATGGCTTCCTGCTACCCGTAGACTGAAGTTCAAACTCCTTACCAAGAGGATCTGGCTGTTTCTCACAGCTGCATCTCACCTTATTCTTCTTTCCCTGTTCTCTCTAGACCAGTCCCCATACTGGGCTGTATTATTTATTTCTCAAATTCATGGATCGTTCTCATTTCAGGGCAGCTCTTCTTGTTGCCCCTTCAACCTAGATGGGGAAACTCATCTTTCTTGGCTCCTTCTTCTCACTCACATTTCAGTTCAATGTGCCACATCTTTACAGAATCCCTTGCTGGACATCCTGGCTAGAGTATTCGATCATTAGTCACTTTAACAGGATATTCTGTAGCACTTTCTCACGGCACTGATATATGCCATTGTGTTAGCTCTTTGCATATCGTTTGTGTCCCCTTCTGGAAGCTCAGCTCCCCCAGTCTAGCTTGCTACTGCGTACTCATATTTCCAGTGCCTTGGACAGCAGTGCCACTTGGGAGGCAGTCAATCAATACTTGCTGAATAAATGACTTACAGCATGCTGCATCCTTTTCAGCTTCCAAACCAGGGAAAGTCCTTGCCTGTGGGGCTTAGTTGATCGGAGCATTGTCCCACAGACTGAAAGGTCGCAGGTCTGATTCAGGGTCAGGGCACATACCCAGATTGCAAGTTCAATTCTCAATCAGGGAGTGTATGAGAAGGAAACTGATCATGTTTCTCCCTCTTTCTCCTTCCTCTCTCTCTAAAAGCAATCTTAGGGTGAGAATTAAAAAAAAAAAAGTCAGGGAGAGGACCTTGAACCTAATTTTGTTCAGGCTTTATCTTTCCTCATGTCCTCCTTTTACTCCTTTCCCAGCTCCTCAGCAGTCACAAAAGCCCAGCAGCATTATAAAGATATTAGAAAGAATACATTAGTTCAAAGTCTGTGAATCAGAGGATTGTGTAAAGAAGTTACTCTTATCTAAAGGTCTCTCTACATAGTGGATCAAACTGGGTGACTCCAGGCAGTGACTGTCTTGCCTCCCCAGCAGCCAAGCCCCATCCGGGAGGCCTGCAGAGGCCCCGGCCAGGCCTGCGAAGGCATCAGCTGCGGTGCCATCATGGCAGAGGCTCTGGAGACCTTCTTCGTCTTCGTAGGGCTGCTGGTGTGCCTGGTCTGCCTGGGAAAGTGGGTGAGATTCTCCAGATGTGTTTTCCTGCACTTCTGGAAAGGTGTGCCAAGATCTTTTTTGAAGTCAATGGGACAGTGGGCAGGTAAAGAGAACATTCCATCTGTTGGTTTCTGCTGTTCTTGCTTATCATTATCTATGTCTCAAAAGACACATTGCATCTTTTCCCTTTGAGGGCAAAGATGTAATTCCTTTGGGTGATTTTAACTTGGGGGGTTCTGGAAAGCACGAGTAAAGATCAAATTGTTGGAAAACAAGATGTGGGGTCTGAGGAGGTGAACGGGGAGGACTGTGCCTGTCTGCTCATCCTCACCAGCTGCGCTTTCTTCCTCGTGGAGTTTCTGATGATATAAGTCATAAATGGTGCAGAAACTGCATCCTGTTCTCCACATTTTCCAAAGCTGGGAGTTCCTCTGTTTTGTTGCAGTGTTTCAAAATTCTGAAATCCAAATAATTTTAATTCACTTTATTAAAAAATTTTTCTCCAAGCCCTTTTTGAAAGTGAGGGTATTACAAAATCTAGGCAGCAATGATCTCCTTGGAGACACTTTCATAAAATAGTGAGATGGACTCGGTCTGGTATGCGTCCCAAGTAGGGTAGTTGCTGCCTCCTAATGGGACTTATCTCCTGGAACTGACACAAGGAATTTTAGCCCATGATTGCGTTTAAGGTAAAGGGCATGAAGCTGGTTTCCGCATCTCCTCAAATAAAGTACTAAAGTACACTTCCAAGTTGGGCACCAAGAGAGCCAATGCCTTAAAAGGAAATCAAGCAGCTTTAGAAATATCATGCCAGACTAAATAGGAGAAATTGTAAACAACCCTATAGAGCTGCCAGATAAAATACAGGACACTCAGTTAAATTTGAAGTTCAGATAAACAAGGAGTAATTTTTTTAGTATATGATAACCCAAACACTGCCTGGGACATAAGTATACTAAAAAATTATTCATTGCTTACTTGAAAAAATCAAATTTAACCAGGCGTTTTGCATCCTTACTTGCTAAAGCTGGCCATCTTACAACTCTAGCAATGGAAATAAAAAATTTTAGCATATGAAAATTGTTAAGAATGAGAAATAGGTTTTTAACTGTTGCGTGTTCCATTTGCAGTGCATGTGTGAATATTCGCCCATTCCCAGGGCCATGTGCTGGGTTCAGGGTACTTGCTAAGCACTTGACCTGGAGCGATCTGGATCCGTGTGGTCTGCTCTACACAGACACGAATGCCTGCATCCTGAGGGGGCTTAGAACTCTGGGCAAGTGCTGCCCATCAGTGCTGGGCAGAGCCCCTCTAAGAACATACATTCCAGAAAAGGTTCACATGTGGCTAGAGACTAGAGTGTTTGTTGACTCAGACAACATAATTGTAATCAGTCTTTTGAGTCAGTATGAATAACGTTATTATTAACAGGAGTAAAATGTCTTTGAGCATAGGCAGATATTGGGGAGATAATATATTTTAAGTGAGGGGATAGGAGAGAATAAAATCCAATCATTAGAGCCTAAAATTTTAAACTTCCCAGAGCTCTGTGGTTGATTTGCTAATTATGTTATAGGTATATCTTAAGAGACTTGTAGCTCCAAAATCAGACAATTTGGCTTCAAATCCCATCATCAAAATTTTTAGCATTGTGACTTTGATAGAGTTAAGAATTTCCTCTCTTGGCTTCTGATCTATAAATTAACAATAATGATGGTCCTTACATTAGAGTCTTATTTTAAATATTAAGTGAGATGATGCATCTATAACACTTGAAACTGTGTGTAGCAGAAAGGAAGTGCTCAATATATACCAGACATTGATTGCTGTTTTTATCTTAACTATGTATGGTACAGGCCTTGTATTGGGTGATTTTGAATATCCCTGTTACAGTGGGAAAGGTGAGGTGGAAGACAACCCTGAGCATAGGTAGCACAGGAGCTCCACACTCAAACTGGGAGATGCTTAAGTGTTTGTGATGTTAGGAAAAAGCCACCCAGAGGACTGGCTGGTATGGCCATGTCATTTATTATTCACATTACAAGGGAGTACATCCCTCCTGCCGGGTTGGTGCGAGGGAGACCGCCCCTTGTCCAGGCTGAGGCTCGTTATAAGGGGTCCCAGACAGAGGAGGCCTATGTCCTAAGAGGACCCTAAATTACACGACTTCAGTGTGTAAAAGGCCTCAAGAAGCTGTCCCATGACAAGAAGCTGCTCCCAAAAGGAGCTAAAGAGGGTGTTACAATCCACTCCCAAAACAATACACATTCCTCTGGCCAGTGGCTATCTGACCAGCCCTCAGCCATGGGAGGGGGAAGGGCCATGTCCATTGACCCCACAGCATAGTAAACACTTCTGCTACAGTAAACAGGTAAGATGCATGTATTCACTTAAATGTACCTAATTAAGCAGATAATCACTAGCAATTACTGAAATCAGGGTGCTTCTGCCTGTGTGCTCCTGGAAGCTCATACAACTTGGTCTGCTCTCAGCCTCAGATAAGCTAAATGTACATGTAACTTTTGTTCACAGTTTTAGAAAGCATAACTTTTCAGAAGGCCAATCTGATTGTTGTATACGAAACAATAGGGTCATTGAGTACAGATTCTTCAGGTACCTTCATTATTTCATCCTCCTTTTGCGTTTCTGTATTTTCCTCTTTGTTAAGTTCCCTACCTTCCCTGGCCTTTGATTGCCATTGACCTGGGGGGCTGGAGATGGGAAGGGGGAGGACTCCACTTTTAGGAGGAACCTTGAAATGTCCTTACAGTACAGTTGGATATGCAGGGAGAGAGAGAACAGGGTGCATTGCTTGCCCTTGATGAATTGAGGCTTATGGGTCTGAACGAAATATCCCCTGGCTGAGGTTCTTTATTTCATTTTGGAATGTGTTTTCTCCAGCTTCACCAACCCCTCAGCAGAGGAAAAACCATGTCGTTTTGAACGTTCAGTGAGGGAAGTCGAGGGCTGGAAACTTCCCGAGCTGGGCAGGGTGGGCTCGGGAGCAGAAGAGCTCTGCTTTGCAGCATTGTCCCAGAGAGCAGGCCTGCAAGAAAACATAGCCAGTGAGAAAGAGGACTTAAAGGTTACCTCCGTGCTCTAAAACCACTTCTGCTTTTTGCAGTGATCACTGGAGCAGGGGATGGCATTGGGAAAGCTTATTCATTTGAGGTAAGTTGGGTTCTTGGAGACTTTCTCTGACTCTTGTACTGAACACATCATGGTCATGTGGTGCCCTCCCCAAGCACTAGTGTCTGATTTTAAAGACTAGACATTCATTTATGGAGGAAAACATTTCCTGTAAAACAAAGAAAGGTGAAAGTCATAATTTCACTCCCTGGATACCTTTTAAAAAATGCAATGATATTCAAAAGGTGGCAGTATCTCTGCTTAGGAGTTGTTTTAAAATTTTAAGGGGTATTGTTATTTTTTAGTGTAATTGTATACAAGCATTTGTATACTTAAACACAATTTTTTAAAAAAATTATAAATTACTTTTATTTATCCTTTACATTATAGTTAGGGCATATATTGACTTAAAAAATTATTTGTGTAGGCAGGACATATTACCTATGACTATACTTTCAAGAAGATTAACAGACATTACCAGGTGTCATGTAAAGAAAGGATCTGATAGGGCTGGGAGTTCCTGGCACCGCATTAGCGTCTTCTGTATTTCCAGGCTTCTTGTTTCTCTGCAGATCGATAGATAAATAGATAGATAGACAGATAATTGATGAGTACCTTTAAAAATACACTTATAGCATATGTAGTTTTATATGCTGTTTTTCTTATTATTACAATCGTTCCTGGAATTAATGAATTGTTTCCTGGAATTCCTACATACTTTATTTCTTCCTAGTGTCATTTTACACTGACCTCTAGAACTTTGTAAAATACAAAAGAAGAAATAGAAGGAATCTTAGAAATTATGAGGATGGCTGTTAAAAATCAGTAACACCTGAAATACATGAAACGCACTTCGGTGATGAAAACAGCGCTGAGCGCCAGCGCAGTACCCGCGCGCTTCCTAGTCCCCCAAAGCCTTCACCGCTACAGACGCTAAACCACCGGGTGTGCAATGTACAGTGCTGTGCGAGGCACTCGGCGGAAACCTTTGGGACTTTAAAAAACCTAAACCATGCCAGTTAAAGAAGCCCCTAGGGCTGGTCTTTCAGGTCTGCCCCCTCATCCTTCATTCTCTGATAATTTCTTTGGTCCTGACCTTCTGCTTTAATTCTTTGCTCTTATCCTAATTCGTGTATAACACCTTTCTGATGGCCTTTCTGAGTGCTCAGCAGGTGAGTGGTCATATCTGAGTGTTGAGGTTGGGGAGATCACCCAGCAACTGCTTTCCAAAGTCTTGTGCCTTCCATACCCACAAATGAGAAGGAAAGCTCTCCTAGCTATTTACATTGAAACTGTATCATCTTTTATGTAACTATTTTCTACTTTAGACCAGATTCCTGGAAAAGGCCTAATCCCTCATCCAAAAGATCTGTGGCCTTACCTCTCAGTTCTCTGGAATGCTGAGAAATTTAGGTCCTTAATGATTTTCCTTAAATTCATGCTGACAACTTACTTGTGGCCCCCTTGATGTCTTGACTCAGATATTTCTCATTCTTCTCTTAGGAGACCCATCTGGAAAGTCTCCTTAGTCACTCGTTTCTTTACTGTTTCCAAAAGCAATGGCCTAGGGGTCAGGAGCTGTGGGTTCCAGTCCTCACTCTGGTACTAACGGGAGATTTTGGACAAGTTGCATGTCCTTTCTGGGCTTCCAGTCTTCACCAGCACAAAAGATATCTCCCAAGATCTTTCAAGTTCTAAATTCTGTTTCTGTTCTAGAGTAATTCTTGCCTTGCTCCTCTTGTATAATCTTTTTCTTCTTTTTTAAGGCTGTTGGACAATTTTCTGGGCTCTGTATCTTTCCTTGATGCAGGCTTTGCTCCCTTCCGGAGAGCCTGTTCTTGTCTCCACGGTAAGTACCACCCCAAGGAAAGCAGTGCACGGCCTGGGATACTGCGGACTGGAATGGTTGAGCCCACGTTTGGGAACTGACTAGACATCTTTGTGTTCAAACCCTGACTTTGATGTTTGCTGCAGAATTTGCACGTCGATAAACTGGAAGCGATGACAGTCCTGCCTGGGCTATTGCACAGGTTAAATGGCACGACGAAGACAACACGCTTTGCACAGAGTAAGCTCTTCAAGTTCCAAGTTTAGCCACTATTATTATTGGATATTTAGAGTGTGTTTCCTTTCCCATATGTTCCTTTGTACTTATCCATATTTTTTATTCTTTCCATTGTTCTTTCTTCCTCCCTGATGTTCCAAGAATCTTTCTTTTGTTATTTTCTATTTGGAGAACTCCTTTTGCTATTCTTTTAAGGTAAGCCTGCTGGTGACCAATTCTCTTTGTTTTCCTTCAGCAGATAATGTCTTGACTTCCCCTTCATTCCTGAAGGATAATTTTGCTGGATAATTTATGGTTGATGGTCCTTTCTTTCAGCACTTGAAAAGTGTTGTGCCACTTGCTTCTGGCCTCATAGTTTCTGATGAGCCTGATGTCATTCAAATTGCTTTCCCCCTTTAAGTAAGGTGTTGTTTTTCTCCCTCAGTTTTCAAGATTTTTTTTCTTTGTCTTTAGTTTTCAAAAGTTTAGCTATGATGTTTCTTGCTGTGCCTTTCTTTCAGTTTATCTTGTTTGAGTTTCACACAGCCTCTTGAATCTGTAAGTTTATGTCTTTTTCACAAATTTTTCATTCCTTTCTTCAAATACTTTTTCTGCTCAGCCCTCCTCCTTCTGGGACTCCAATGACACGGATGTTAGATCTTTCTTACACTCCAATGAGCATTCAAGAGGCTGTTCTTTTTCACTGTATTTTTCTTTGTTGTTTAGATTGGGGAATTTCTATTGTTTTATATTTAAGGTCACTAATTCTTTCCTTAGTCGCCTCCATTCTGCTGTTGAGCCCACCCATCGAGTTTTTAATTTTGGTTATTGCATTTTTTTTTGTTCTAAAATTTCCATTTTGTTCTTTTTCTTATACTTTCTATTACTTTGCTAAAGCTTTCTATTTTTAATTTTTTTAATTGTGTTCATCGTTGCTCATTAAAGCATTTTTGTGATGGCTTCTTTAAAATCCTACTCCTATAATTCTAACATCTGTGTCATCTTAATGTTGGCATCTGTTGATGGTTTTTATTTCACTCAAATTGAGATCTTCCTGGTTCTTGGTGTGAAGAGTGATTTTTTAATTGAATTTCAGACATTTTTGGTTTTATGTTAGAGACTCTGGATCTTATTTAAATCTCCTTTTTAGGTCTATACCAACATTGCTTCAGCAGGGACGTGGGGGCTGACTTGTTCCTACGACGTGAGATAGAAGCCCAGGTTCCCACCTGGCCTTCGTGGGAGTGTGCTGCCTCCTAGTTACTGTTGGGTGGGGTGAGGGTGCTGGCCCCCATTAGGTCACTCTGGATGGAAAGGCGAGAGTGCCTCCGTGCTGCTCCCCACGAGGCCTCCACCGGCGCCTGGGGAAGATGGCCTCCTGGCCATGGGGTGACAGGGTAAGTTCTGAGTGTCCTCTATGCCTTTCCTGTCACCATCCCAGGAGAAGAGAAGAAGGGGAAGAGGTGCCTTGGCATTGCCAGGTGGTAGTAGAAATTCAGGTTCCTTTAGACATGGTGGGATGGGTGGGATGGAAGCCCCGGCTCCCTGTGTGGCCTTCCTTGAGACCTGCCTCGCTGGGGGCTGGGGCCATTGTTGCAGCAGCTTTGGCTCCTCACTTAGTGTTTACAGGCAGGGGTGGCTGTAGGACCATACAATTTTTTTTTGAGTTGTTTACTTGGAATAAAGCAGTTTTTGTCTAAAGTTCTCTGCCTTGCTGATCCTTTGGTTAGAGAGAGCAGGCTTCTGTTGGGCCTTATGCCTGCACTGGCTGGTGTTCTGAAGTTGGGGATCCGCAAGCCCTCTAGCTGATCTTTTCTTCATCCTTTGGAGTCTTCTTATGTTTCTTTTCAGTATTATGTCCAGGTTGCACTTTGTAGATTCATTAATGGTAGGAATGGGGAAAAGTACTTCTCTTCCATCCTTCTGGAAGACTATTCTACATTACATTTTAACTTAATCTGTAGTTATATATGAAGTGGCAAAAGAGGCTTCATCTCCTGCTAAAGGAATTTCAAGCATTACTGGAAGCAAGTGGGAAAAATTATGGAGAAGGATGAGCCTGGGAGAAAGGACGGGAGAGGGCCTGCCTTCTGTGACTCTGAGGCCGTACCCCACAGTGTCTCTCACACCATTTCTCCTCCTTTAGCACTTGAATTCAGGCCGCTGCTTTTATTCACCGTTATAGAGAGGAAGCTCTGTCTTCCCTGCAAGTCCCACCATGTGTCATAGATTAGCAGTGATAAGCACCTTCCTTGACTGAGGCCCTAACATGCAGTAGAAGGAAAAAGGCCCATTCATCAGGGCAGCAGCCATTCTTCAGGCCAGTGCCCTGCAGTGAATTCTGGGAAAGAAAGAAAGTGCTTCTGTGGCTTAACTCCAGAGAAAAGGGGGACAGCAAAACCTGCATATGGAGCCTGACAGCCTGACATTCTGGAAATGAGATTGAGCTCTGCTCAAGTGGACAAAGGGAACATTGCTGGCCCAGACAATCGAGTGCTCTCTGTACCCTCTTCTGGCCCAGACCACTTCACATGGCTCTTGAGAGGACGGAAAGCCCACCAGGCAGGGAGCATCCTTTGTGCTGAAAATGCAAATTGTTTCCCATTTTATGGACAATCTCCCTTTCAGGAGGCCAATGAAGTGAACTGAGACAAAGGTTCTCTCTTTTTCGGCCATCCTAGGATGGATCCCAGGACTCAAAGGCGAGGGCTGGAGGTGGGGGTGGGGGTGTGACCCTCTGCCAAGGATCGCAGCTTTGCGGGGCAGCCGCCTTCACACAGCTCTCTTACTCTCGTTCCGCTCACTGCCCATTCCTCAAACCTTTCAGGGGGTGGAGATTTTCCATGCAGAGAAGGGAGAGAAGACTCCAGGATACCATTGTCAGGGTCCTCCTGGAAATGAGACCATCATCGGTTTTTATTTTTTAATCTTTTAATTTTCTACTTATTTTTAAGTTTGTTAATAAGCTTTACTTTTCAGAGCAGTTTTAGGTTGACCA